GATACAAATTTAAAGGTGTAAAGACTAACCTAAACTCCAGAAAAAAATAAACCTAAAAAAAATTTTTTTTTTTTTTGAAAATCAAATTTGCTTATTATTACAAATAATATTGTAGGTTGGTTAATTCTAGCCGTAAAAAAGCTAGTTTTTTAAGTAAAAATATTTTGATTTTTTTCTCCTTTTGGATTTTATTTTCTCATTTACTCAATTCGGAGTTTTAAAATTTACAACAATTAGCACGTTATCTTTATGCCAAAAAATTTTTAAAATCTAATTTTGTTTTTAATATTTAAAATAGTTGGTAAATGACAATTGCTGCTTTGAATATTGGCAAACAGTAGCAAAGCTTTTGAAGAAAGAGTCAAGAATTTAATAACAACAAAACGCGTCGTTTGTGAAAAATAGCTGGATTCTAGCAAACATCTAATAATATTAACATATAATTGCAAAAATACAAATATTGGAATTTTACTTTTGGAAGTAGTTTTAAAAATGTAAACTAAATTGTATAAATTTTTTTATTTATATGAACGTATGGTAGATGTTTTACTTATAATTTCTGAAGATAACATTATAACTATCATTTAACATAATTTTTATGTTCGACGTAAGCCAATATTTTTCACTGAATATTTGGACAGAGTTTGTAAACCTTACAAAATCTGTACGCAAAAATATTGAAAGTATGTTTACTTGTGACATTATGACTAATTGTGTTAGTGAAATATTTAATTTACAGTACATATAGACATCTTTTAACGTTCGATTTTCAAATTTTATAATAATCACTCACTTTTGTCAGGGCACTATAGTTTGACTTCAACAGAGATACAACGCCCGATAGTCAATACTTCTAGCTTTAACAAAACCACAAAATAGTTAAGGTACAAATAAAGTGGACGGCATGTAACAAGGAGCGGAAATTGTGTAAGTAAAAGACAGACTGAGGTGAAGCATTTTCAGAATATCTAAGAGAATAATATAAAGAAAGAAAATTAGTCGTTGTAATTATGTCAATAATTTGAAATTTACAGGAATAAGTAGAATATTCGAATAATATTAAATATAGAACCATGTAGACGCAATCGCAATTCCGTACTAGTAGCGAAAAATACGCCTTGTGGATAAATTACCAACGACGGGTATTAGATGACTAATTTGACATTAACTATTTTAGTCGTTTATTTTCATTTTCCGCGTAACAAAATTGTAAATGAGCCTACAAATGCTACAAATTTTAATGTCGTTTAATTGTAGGCAATGAATCGATTATTATCAACGGAATAAACTGGGTATACTTATCGCTTACCGGAAAAGTATTCCGTAAAACAGATAAAATTTTATTTCTTCAAAGAGCTTTAACTTACGTATTTACTACACAAAACACAATGAATTTGGGGAAAAAATTGCAAAAAAAAAAGTTGTTCGATGACGTGACATATGTTTTCACCTACATAGTAAATTCGCACAATGGAGAAATAGTTTTCATCGATACCTTTTTCGTACTAGCTATGTAAATCAAGTTTACGGGCTGGAGTGAGCTGTGGGGGGGGGGGGGGTATTAATAAAGATTGACTACTTGCATTATCCAACAAAGACATTGCATAGCCACCACAATTATATACCACTGAATACATTTTGTGTTGTTACAAAAATAAACAGTCTCGTTGTATGCAAGCTCTGGATAGTGAAGCGGATAAAAGGATAAGACTCTTTTAACACTGAACATAATTTACATACATTTATCTATTTCTTCAGATGCCAATGTCCTGCTACCTACCACTGCTAGCTGATGTAAACGTCCGTCGCTTATACTTAATTTAGACAAATCGTTGTACCGGCGTGACGACAGCAAGAGACTTTTTCATATATCCTTACAATATATTGTTGATGGCTGTATACGTGGTAATGTACGTAATCATGTTCATGAAAAAAAAATGCTTTCCTGCAGGGATGTGAGATGAGTATTGTCGGTGCAAAGTCCTTATTTTAATATTGCACACGGGTCTTATAATCTTACAGTAACAAATGATTATGATGGTTTATCATCGCTGTAACTTATTCGTTCCTTGCTTGCGTAAAATAACACCATGCAGCAGCACAGAGTACAAAGGTTTGTTTAATAAAAATAATACCTAAGCTGTATCGATAATACTCTTTGTTAGATGGTAAGAGAACCAGATGCCCATTGAAGCTGCGCTTGTCATTTCGTATTTTGTTCTGCATTGTGCATGGAAAGACGAATGCCACAGCCAACACAATACGCAGTGTGGTCTATACTAATTGTAGTACTTTATTTTACAGCACCAAATGCATAATAATGGTTGGCCGATATCAAATTTCGGGATCAAATGCATTTACACTACACTGAACAATCAGTTAAGGATATCTGTACTGTTGAGGCTTAATTCCCATTCATTTAACTATTGATAAGATTTCAACATGTGAATATGATTTGTGTGTTACTACTATTTCACTCATCCAGTAGTTGCCCGGCCCAGCCGTACTTGCTATGTTTGACAAAGCGACTTGGTTCTTAAAATAAATAATGGAAGCTTACGTTTGCATAAGCTATGTTTTTTTGCTTTCAAAAAACGGTGTAGAGTATTAAAAAGCTTACATCAGCATACGTAATGTTTGCTTTCAAGAAAGATTATGTAACTGATTGGTCAGTCAAAATCTATTGAAATTGCAAAGGGATGGTAACCAACACCCCATGATCCCAACATTTGATATCAGCCAACGCATCTGGTGTCATAAACTGCCGTAAAAATAAAGATTATGTTTGTACTACACTTAATATAGACTACACTTTGAACAGCTGAATGATTACATCGATAAGACACAACTATGATGTTTTTATTATAGTTCTGTTGCATATACACATATTTTTGTTGCTGTGGTGCAAAATGGGCGTTCATCTCTGTCTGGTAGCTGTGTGCTCATGCATAATGCAGAACGAGATGGCAAGTCTAAAGCCCGATGGTTATTCAATGAGCATCTGGGTCTCTCACCTTTTAGCTAAATAGCACAAAAAAATAGTAGTATTATTGATACAACAAAGGTATTATTTTATTCTGTAATTTTTTTAAAAAAAAAACTTTGACTTTATACGTACTCTATGCTGCATGGTATTGACGACAATAAGTACTGAATAAGTTATATATTATATATTATAGGGTGATGATAAACATCACTATTGTTTCAACACATTTGTTTACCATCAGCCGCATACAATGTATTGTACTACATGCATGAATGCAATCTCATGAAGAATGACATTTTAGCGTTTGTCTTCTTGGTCAAATCAAAACAAAGACTTTCGTATCGATAATCTCTGTATCAACCCGCAGCAATATCCGAGCATTAATTACGTACATTATGCACATCTACATTGCTGATTGATAACGATATATCAGAAAGTCTCTCACACTGTTATCAAAATTAGGACAGTTAGTACAACACTTGTCTAAATTTGGTAAGTACAAACATTTACAATCGGAATATTGACGAGATAACTGAACTGATTATCGGTTGAAGATGAATACTTGTTACAAGGTAAACTATGGTGTTATTATATTGTACAGTGCCAAAAAATTCTATAGTTGTATATTAATATCCCATGACAGTATCTAATAATTACAAAACTTTTTGTAAAATATACAATGTATCTCTCACTTGTATCTGTTGCAGGTATCTAAAAAAAACAGTATATAAAAACTAACGGCCGTTTATGAAACCGGAAGAAAATGACCGGATGAAATATGTTATCGTTTTAATAGTATGAGGGGTCAATTGTCTGTTTGACGTGAACGTTTATGGTAAATATAAAGAAAATTTGCCATTAAAAATATATATGCATCGATTGTCAATTTTTTGTATATATCTTATTGCTACAATAACACATCGACTCTTCCATTGAATTAAATGGGAACAAAACCATCGATCTGTATTACCCTTAAGCTGCAACTTACGTCTGAGTATATAAAACAGTTATATGATAATATAAATAAGAGCAAGCCTATAGAAACATATACGCTGCGCCAAAGTTTAAATTTTATATCATAATAAGCTCATCACTTTACTCGCCTCGCACTAGTAAGCACACCCTCATCATGGTTACCGTCACTCAATTTCTCGAATATTTGATTACTGATTCTGACAAACGTCAACCACATAACCCAACTAGTTTACATAACCCCCTACTATCTACATCGGGGGCCGTAGCCACTCCACTCCACACAATTTCAACCCTTTTTTTGAAAAATTATCGTCGGCTTCTGTCCTCACACTCTTCAGCATTGTCATGTATGGCATTACCTCTACTGTTCAGTTGACTTGCAATGTTTATCAATAAGGTAAGAAATTTTTGGTATATAGTAATTATAATGTAATTAAACAACTGCCTAAGCTGACTCTATATTAATATCTAATTTAGTACAAGCTACAAAAGCATATTGCCTTCCTACACCTTCATGGAACAACATAACATCCAGAAACAAAAGAGCACATACTTATTATGTAGCATGCTAATAATGGTAACCTTTTGTCTTACTGGATAGAAACATAGACAGGTGTCATGGGATCTAATGCACATACAGGCACTTACCTCGCCTGTTGCATAAGCATCATGCCATCAAGGCTAGTTGTTATTAAATGGTTTAAGAATTTAGATGCAATAGTTATAATTAGGGTGTTTGCAGTTTTCTAGCTTATGCAAGTTACTTAGTATTAGTAGAAGAATTTATAAGAGGTGGAAATACAGTGACAGCACAATGTTTGTTTTAAAAGCTTGTACATGAATATTGAGTCAAAATTAATGAACTTTTAAATCAATATAGTCTTGCCATCTGACTTTCAACGCATTTTTGTCTTATTAAAAAAGACTCACTCCTTCAATAATTATAAAATTTTAAACATTAACATATTCAGCACATTGCAATTGTGCTGGTTTTTGTAACATATATTAAAAAATATGAAAATAAAAATTCTATTTAATATTATGTGTATCTACCCTTGGCCTTTAACACAGCAGCAACACACCTGGGCATACTCTCTATAAGATCAATACATACTTGAGGTGGCATTCCACCTCTACACATTCCCACAATTCATATACTATGAGGTCAGCCTCATATGTAATATGTAGCAAGCTGTCACTTGAGGTGTTGCCATAGATGTTCAATAGGATTGAGTATGAGGTCTGGTGATTGTACAGGCCAATCCAGCACCTCAACACTATCATCTGTGAGCCATTTTAAGCAATGCAGAAGGTGTTTTGGATCATCTTGTCGAAAGATAATTTCACCCACTTCCATCCCATAAGACTCAAGGCTCTGAAGGAATTTTTCTTTAAGGATATGAGTATAAAGCTCTGCATCCATAAATCTTGCTAATATCAGCCTCTTCCCATGAATCTCTTACCCATTGAGCAAGAGTACCATGGTGGTTTTCATATATGCCCAGCAGGTGTTAGTTGATGAATAGTATTAGCCATCCATTCATTCATCATAGCCTAAAAATTTAAATTTTATTAACACGGAATATTCAAATATTTTCAATGATTGTACCTTACTCTTGAAGCTCTTGTTGATTACAACAACTAGAGGTCGAAGCTTACTAGTTAATCATCCAGGAATGACTGCAAGATGAGTGTAATTTTCTTTAAATGGTATTCACTAAGTGACCCCTAAAAGAGTCAAAAAAAAAGAGGTTGTGGTTTTTCTAGTTCACTATGTCTAGTCCAAACATTTTAATCCAATAATGCATTTCATGCTTGTTGCACCATCCTTTTTCATTTACTCTTTGGAGGAAACACATCATGAGGAATGGTTTTCAATTTAAAAATGCACATAGCTGGAGGTTTTGTTCCATCAGCAAGGCACCAAGGATTACAGTAAAATTTGTCAGTGGTTTTGATATCCACTGTCTTAGATTCATACTTTTCACTGGTAACTGGACTAGACCTCTAATGTGAGATGGTATATTATTATAAGCTGACATGTTTAAGGTTGGAAGATGTTTGAGAAGAGAGGAAGAAATGTTTAAAGGTTAGAAGATTGTATGACAAATCGCTCTTTTCTAGCACTACCATCACAGTGCATCAATTTCCTTATTCCCAAGCTTGGGAATAAGCCATGGCATGCATGTATGGAGGGTGTACATATATGGAGGGTGCATATGGAGAGTTCACTGTACATTTTGAAAAGATCTAGAGGTTCCTAATAATACGTCATTGATTAAGCCACTGATCAGCATTATATCGGTGCAGCACATCTTTCCGCAGAATCAACCATGGCAACAATTGAGGGATAAAAATCGAAAAACTTGAAAACGAGATTGAAAACGGTTAAAACGACGTTTGGGTTTGAGAAGTAGAAGGTGTCACCGGTGTTCTTCGCGAGGCGGCTGCGTCCCCTCACCGTGACAATAGGGGGCTCTGTAGTGTCGATGCTTAGTAATGAGGTTGAGGCCACCGACTTAGCCAACTTTATTACCTTATTCTGATCTCTATTCTCTAATATCTCACATAACTTCTAAATTATCTATCTTAGAGAATAATCGTTTTTCTAGACGAATGATTTCATTATTGCTAGACGAATGATTTTACTATTGCTAGACGAATGATTATTATTATGTTGACGTTGACTCCTATGATCCGTGTTTCGTAGTACACTTGTCCCAGACTTACAATTGGTTCACATCTCGAATATATCTGAGGCAAAGGATATATTCTCCATCGGACTTTCTATACTATTCGTAACAAACAACAAAATTGACTGTTCACAGAAGGGAATGGGCCTTCTCACATCCTTCTACAAAGAAAAGGTACAGCTGCAAAAGCTGCAAACTGCTCTTACTCTGCCAGGACAGCCAGGACTGGTTGACTTCTCACATACTCCTATTCACAGTTGCGTGACTAATATTCAATTGTGCAGCAATTTATATAAAAAAAGTTTATTATCAAGTTTATGAGTTTCTTCAGAAATAGACTTCATAATGAAAATTATTCAAAGAAGAGTGGAAAATATAAACAAACATTATATATACAAATAAGTTTAAATAACGCGTTTTTGAGTAAACAAATCGCGTTGCGAGAGCAATCGATAACATAATAAAGTTTAAATGACAGCTGTAATTTTATTATTATGCAGTATTTTTTCAATTATTTGACATATTAACTTGTTTAATTGGAAGAGATGTAAACTCTTGAATATAAACTGTGTAGATTACGAGTTGTTCAGGTTCAGCATAGAACGTATGAGTCACTAAACCATAAATTCATTTATAGCCCATTTGCGGTCTTTATATCTGCGGCTGAATCCATATCATAGTTATTTCTCAGTTTAAATAAATTTTCTGTAGTTAAAAGTTTACTAGAGTGGTTATCTCTTTCCTATTCCGAGAACAATAAGACTTTAGCTTATAATGATATGTAGTATTTCACGTATCGTGTCATAAGTAATTTTTATAGAAAACTTGACAATAGCAACGCTCGGCAAATCTCTTGTATTTTCGGGTGCTGAATAGGCATTAATGTTCGTAGTCATCCAATATCGCATACTAAATTTTTATCAATTATCTATACCAAAGATAGTTTACCAGTTGGCATTAAATATACATACCAAAAATATAAGGTCTAATTTTTTGAAACACTTACGATGCAATGCCTCTTTTCGTTCACGTAAATTTATTAATCAAATACAGAAATACGAAGAATTGTTTTCGCTACCATGAAGATCACAATGTAAATGTACTAATTTCGCATTATTCAGATATGACATAATAACTTTCCAAAGACTCTAATTCTAACTTCCATATTAATTTGTTGATATTTGATCCAATGCAACCAAACATATAATATACTGAAACTGTTTATTTCTGAGGTAAACAGTCTCTGATAATATTAGTTAAATAATATGTAAGGATTTATATTATAGTTAGAAATTGCGTCAAATATTCATTTTTATGTTATTACACAAGGCCTAAGAATAAAAAAATTATACATAATGTTTATGTAATATGTTAACAATGCTAATCCTTCACCATGTATATATAAATATTTTTATTGTTATACTTGGCAGTACGGTATACGGCATCCACGATTTGGCATTGTTGCCCCCGGAAACAAGTCTGGGTTGTGGGACTGCGACAATCGCGCTCGCCGACAGGGAGATATTCTAATTTAGCTTCAGCTCACCGCCTTTATTTCGGTGTCCGCTTTTGCGATGGATCTAAACTTATAAGTTAATTATTTAAACTGTCTATTTGAGTAGATAAAATGTGCTTATTTCAGTTTAAGTACCCAACGCATATTCCCTTCGCGATTGTTGACTCGACAAATAAGAACATTGCAAATAAAGAAACGACTATTGTTAAATTGTTTGCTATTTGAGACAAGTTCTATGCAACTTAAAAACAATTCACTGTGAAATTCACTTTAGTAGTAGTATTAGAATAACTTGTTGTCGGCAAAAATGCTGTCAATCTATTGGCTAAATTTTACTGCGTGAAAAAATTTTTCATCGAATGAAACACAATTTACGCTTTGCCACCGACACTGCTTGCACACACTAGTACTGTAGTACTGTCGTTTAAACATGGCTATGTCCTTGCCTTATGAGCTTCTTAGAATAGTTTTTGACGAATGTGCAGGCGATCCCTTTACGCTTCATTCCTGCGTATTAGTTAACAGAAACTGGTGCGTTCTAGCGCTTCAATACTTGTGGGCCAAACCTTTCACCTTGTTACTTTCAAAGTTGAAGCTTGGAAGCACTCGATCGATAGAAAATCTTATAACCACATTCATCGAATGTTTTACCGACATCGATTCTCTGGAAAATGCATTGCAAACGTGTAAACATAATCGTAAAAAGTTTCCGTTTGATTATAGTCTTTACTTAAAAGAGATACATTTCCATGAGATCCACTCTTTGGGAACAAGGACAAGACTTAATATGACTAATATGCCAATCATGACTGTTATTGCTCATTTGGCAATTGTATATTGTCCAAATCTCACAACTCTTTCTCTCACATACCATGCTTCACATCAGTTGGCTTTCTATATAAATGAGAAATGGACTCTTCCCAGATTGCAAAGTTTAAGTTTGTCTTTAAATTTACACTATGGTGCATTCTGCACACTTTCCAGGGCAGCACATAAATTGGAATCAATTTCAGTTGAAGGTCTCGATATTCATAGCCTTGCTGAACAAATACCACATGGGTTGACAGAACTCATACAGTCTCAACATCAACTAAAGGCAATCACTATAAAAAACATTGCTGAAATTGATATGGGTTCACTATTTAAATTGTTGGAATCACAATCAAATACTCTGGAATCAATTGTTTTGGAAGGAAGTCATCTTTGTCAAGATGCCATAAAGATTGAACAAATGAAGTTTCCTCAATTGACAACCATCTGCATAAAACATAGTTGGATATCAGAAAGAGGACTGAAAGTCATTGTTGAGGCTGACTTACCAAAGTTAAAACAACTCAAGATTGAAGATACTGGACTGCATGAGAGTGACTGGATTCCATTAGAAAACAAGTATCCTCAATTAGTTTATTCAGGTGAATATTTTTATTAATTTTGTATTTAGTGAGATTTGTAATTGGAAAACTTTGATGTAACTGGGGTTTTTCCAGTATGATTATGCAGTGCAATAGTAAGCTTGGGCGGATTTAGTGAGAATATTTTTGGAGCAATTGGGTGAGTGCATACTCCAATCATTAATTACATATTAATATCCTTTTTATTGATGGAGTTTCTTTATGCTTAAGTTTTCATTTTATATTTAGTATTAGTATATGTCTGGCAATACCTTTTTGTTCCTAATCCATAATCATGAACACATTTTGCACAAATAATGTAAATATATTCAAAAATTTGATAGTGCTCAATGTTATCATGTTGTAAATAGGATCACAAATAAAGATTATCTGCTGAGACATGCTACTTATATGATTCAAAACAACTATTTTACAGTGAAGTGTCACATTGCTTACAGTATATAGAAGAACTTTCTCAAACTTATTTACTTTCAATAAATGCAATGATAAAATGCAGTAATTCATTGGTGGTGAAAAAGGATGTACTGCATGCAAATCTTTTCATTGCCATATGAGCATCTTAGACAAATTAAAAGTTCTGCATTCATATTCCCATCAATATGGCATGCATAACCAACCCCTTGAGCTGTCATACAACCTGATTTCCACCACCAAATTTTCATTGTCCCTTTCTTCTCATGTTCATCTGACTCTAGACTGTCAATCATAGTTTTATCAGACCAAATAACATGCTTCCAGTCTTCCACAGTCCAATGTTGAATTTGTTGCAAAGTCAAGTTGTTGGCAGACATGTCTTGGCAAAAGTTGTGGCTTTTTCTTCTTTATTGCTGGCTTTAACCCATGGCATACTGTCTGGACACTGACATCTATATTACTGACATCCCTTAGTATTAGCTCACAGTACACAGGTGGGTTGGACAGCATTATCTGTCTTGCCTGAAATAATTGTGCATAGTAGCCTATTACTATGCTTATCAGTGGCACTAATACTAAGCTTTGATGGTCATCCACCACAACTTTTCTGTATATCTGTTCCTGACTTTTCACATATCCTATTGATAGTAGTATTAAGTATGGCTGACACCTAATTGTGGTGATTTTACATGATGAAAGTCAATTATCAAGTGTGACAGGATATTATTACAAGTTTCTTCAGGAATAGGCTTTATAATAACAGTGGCTCTCTTTATAGTGGAGAAAGAGAAATCTCACCATATTAATATTAATAATTAATATGTATTAGTATATAGTAATAGTGTATTTAATAATATATCATGTGACATACACTATAGCAAATTTAAGCAACTGAGTTTGTTTGTATTAACATGAAAGGATAATACTAGACTCACTTGTTATTTCGAAGCATTTGATGTTTTAAACTATTTAGTGTTTTCATAGTTATAACATCAACCCTCCTGAGATTATTTTGTTGTACATATTTGCTAATCCTTCCAAAGCATTTTTTACATTTGTCAAGGATTCAGACTCTTTATCTTCATTATTCTCTGGCTCTTCAGTTTCTTCATTTTTTACAAACTTAACAATTTCTTCATCAGTCATTTGCTCCTCACTCACAATTTGATTATCAACCAGAATATACTCTTCCACAGTCAGGAATCAGAAATATGTGGCATTTGGTCAATGAGGACTACGAGTTCTTGTTCAGCTTCAGCTTCATCAGAGAGTGGGTCAACTTACAACTGCTACTAGATTATTATCCCAAGCCACAGAAGGAGGAAGTATACCTGTACAATGCCAACTATTTTTTATCATAGATTTTGTTACAGAATCCCAGGTGGCAGCAGCAAATTCAATTGCATCTCAAATGGGAAGTAAGCTTGGAGTAGGAAATTCAGGTGTCAATAATGCATCTGGAATACAATTGTTATAAGATATACTGTATATGCCAGGAAATATTTGAACAGAAAAAATGACATTAATTATAATACCTTCAAGCTGTAAATAATTCCTTGGTCAATTGGCCATAAATGTGATGAGGAAGAAAGTGAACTTGAACATTAGAAAGGGTTTCATGCAATGAAAAGAAGGCAAATCAAAAAATCGCAATTCAGCATTGTCCATTAAAAGGAGAATATGCTAATTGGGCTCTACACATTATGCTATCAAGTCAGTTGAAATGAGTAAAGACTGTGACCTTTGCATCAAAGCCTTGTTATTGAAGCAATACCATGCTGGATGGGTATTTTATCAATTCCTTAAAGAGCAACCAGAGTTTTGAATTTGTGAATAAATAGTAAAGGCAATTTTTCTCCCATTGAACTGCATTTTACCATAATACTAACACAATCTTTAGACTTTTTTTCCAGCTACAGGTCCATAGGCAAGAGTTTGACTTGGCTTGAGTGTCCAAGAAAGCACAGTTTCATCACCTAAGAAACCCCACAGTATACAGTAGTATTTAATGTCACAGTTCAAGGCAATAAAGTTTCATCATTTATTCAAGTATAAACTAATTGAGCACACTATACGTTAATGCGTGATAAATAATAGTATTTTTAATGACTACACGAACATGCATTTTGCAATTAATATTTAGCGCCTTAATTTGTGCTGGCCGCTTTCCGCAAAATTTGTTGCGTTGGCACTCAGAGGTTGTTTAACAGTAATGACACTAATTACGCTTACTTTATTACAAACAAACTAATTGTGTGGGACAGTAGCCTCGTGTGGAAAAGAAGACGTACTGTAATTAAGAGTTACCTCCTAAAGGCTAATCATTGACGTATTCATACCTTTTCTCTATATATGATTCGCCGTAGCAGTTGAGAATCATACAATTTTATGTTCAATAACATAAAACTCGCTCCACGTTTGGAAGCGTTTTACAATTCTACAAATATTCAACCAATTTAAATAAAATTACTCTGAATATAGTTTCGCTTTCTGGCTTTTCATAAGTTTTTATTTATTGAAAAACTCTGTGCTTCGAAAGTTATAATCTTAGTAATTTTATTAATGCATTAAGCTGGTTTGTAACCCCTGTGTAACTTATAAACTGTTAGTCTTTGTATCATGTAAAACAGTAAACAGTCGAACCCCGCGTTGTTTATACTTATCTGTATATTAATATATTTAATACTGTATATGTTGTATCTTTGTTAGAGACTTGTCTCGAATGACTGGATACTCGGACACGATATATAAGGTAGACAGGGGTAATTTGGCGAATTACAAAAAATTATTATAAATAGAATCAATTAGGATAAAAAATTTTATAGTCATTACAATCATATTTTTTAAGTATAAAGTGAACGCATTTTTCAACTAGATTATATACAGAATTGTACGTACATTATGTGTTTTATTCGTTCAATATATTAATATGGCAATTTATTATAGGCTACATACGTTACACAAACGCTTGCTAGATTTTGTATGTCCTCCCACGCGACAAAATAGACGCAAAATGAATTACATATTACAGTGGTGCTTGCATTGCTCGCCGCGCAACCGTTTTGTCATTATCATGGAGCGAAATGAGACATTCGAGCTACACGTGATAAATTAGAATTTATTCTGCTGGCACCAAACGCCCAACTTTCAGATAGTGTAGCGCAAGATTTGGACTCGCAAAATCTACTCTTTGCTAACTAGTATGCAAAAAAAATTTTGTAATGGACAAACTATTTTCCTAATACTAACAGGCTGGGCTGGCTAATGAAGACGCAATTTTTGTACCAATTTTATCCTACAGTCCCTTTTTTATTTGCATGTATCTGTTATGAATATTTAAACAGCTCAATAAAATTTTTACTTAGTATTAGTGAGAACTTTGCTTTTGCCCTCTCTATCTTATGCACTGTATACACGTATATCTGATATATGTGTGTACAACATAATTAACCTTAGTTTTTTAATAACAAATTAAAATATTTTTTTTTTACATATTTAATGAACAATAGTTTGTTTAAAAGCTTGAAACTCAAAAATTGTATTGACATGTATTGATATTTTAACTCTTTTACCATTATTATTAATATCATTGGCAGTCAAGGTTGGCAGTAATAATTAATTGACAGTACAAGACTATTACCAGGTACAGATAACCATCACCCTCATTATGCAGAAAATTCCCGAGTTTAATATTTCCTAACATTATATAGTAATAGTTAGCTATTGATCAAGGCCAGCTGTTTGGCAGAGTTCATTCATTATTTACAAAATAAAAGATAGTTAAATGTTTTGTATTGAGTGTATAGAGTTTTGCTTTCTGAAATTAAGACGTTTTAATAGCACATGACACTTTATACATAGTCACTCTCGATAAGTCGGACTCATCGGGGCGGAGATTTTATCCGACTTATCGAGAGATCCGACTTATCGAATTTCATAATATTTTATTAATAAAAGTGCTTTTATTTAAATATAAGAATATCAAATATT